GTGGAAGAAACATTTAATGTTCCTTTTGATGATTATTATATCAAGCAATCTGATAAGAAATTTGAAAATCATTCCATAATGCAAGAAAATCAAATTGAATCTGATGATAGCCAACAATGGATATTGATTATGATATGCTTTTTGGAGTTTCAGATAATGCTGTGAATGCTGAGTGTAATGCTCCTGACAATCATGTCAATGAATATTCAAAACTAGTTGATACATCAACATCATCTTCTCAAGAAATGGGCGAAAGTATGCATGATAATCCAATGGAGGGGGAGCACTCGGATTCGAACACTCTACTTGAGGGAGCACTCTTTCGAGGGGGAGAATGAAAGAATATGTGATGATGTTGAGGGGGAGCAAATAAATGATGTTGAGGGGGAGCAAATAAATGATCATATTGAGGGGGAGTAAAATCACAATAATGAAGTTTTTCATGATATAACTGAGGTTTGTTCGATTGCAGCATCTGAAAACGATGAAATGTACGAAGATGCACCTTTGGACTTCGATCCAGCTTATCCACCAATGGACAAATGGACAAAAGATCATCTGAATGAGCAAATCATTGGTAATCCACAAGAAGGAGTTTTAACGCGAGCTCAAATTTGTGCGAAGAATGAGGTTTTAAAAGCCCATCAAGAATTTTGTATGTTCAACGTTTTTATTTGTAAAATTGAACCAAAAACAGTTAAGATTGCAATGAAACACTCAGATTGGGTAGTTGCAATGCAATCTGAATTATCTGAATTTGAACGAAATATAGTTTGGAGATTAATTCCTAAACCTGAAAATATTTCGATTGTCGGATTAAAATGTATTTATAAAAATAAAACCGACAAAGATGGAAATATTATTCAAAAGAAAGTCAGACTTGTTGTAAAGGGTTATTCACAACAAGAAGGAATTGATTACAAGAAACTTTTGCCCCTGTTGCAAGACTCCAGGCAGTTCGTATCTTTTTGGCTTATGCAACTCACAAGGATTTTGATGTCTATCAAATGGATGTGAAGTGTGCATTTTTGAATGGAGAACTCGAAGAAACAGTGTATGTTGAACAACCTCCAGGTTTTGTAAACAAAGATCATCCTGATTATGTTTATATTTTAGATAAAGCAGTTTATGGATTGAAACAAGCACCACGAGCCTGGTATGCAACTCTTACTTCATTTTTGAAACAATTTAAATTTAAACAAGGATCAGTTGACCCCACATTATTTCGTAAGAAAGTTGGGAATCATCTAATGCTTGTTCAAATTTATGTTGATGATATTATTTTTGGCTCTACTGACTCTGCTTTGTCTAAAGAATTCGAAGATCTGATGAAGAGTAAGTTTGAAATGAGCATGATGGGGAAAATTAATAACCTTCTTGGTTTAAATATTCGTCAAAACAGAGAAGGCATTTTCATAAATCAAGAAAAATATACAAAGAATCTGCTCGAAAAATTTGGATTAGTTAATAGTACGAAATTACGCGTTCCAATGGTAACATGCGTTAAATTCACACCTTCGGTAGACAAACCTTCTGTTGATATTACTCAATACAGAAGCATGATTGGATCTTTACTTTATTTAACTGCAAGTCAACCTGATATCATGTTTTATGTTTGTAATTGTGCCAGGTATCAAGCAAATCCTTGAGAACCACATCTAACTGCTGTAAAGAATATATTTCGTTATCTTAAAGGAAATTCTTCGCTTGGATTGTGGTACCCTTCGAAAACTGGATTTTTTATTCAGGCATATTCGGATGCTGATTTGGGAGGGTGTAATCTAGATATAAAAAGTACAAGTGGTGGTTGTCAATTACTGGATGGTAAATTGGTGGGTTGGCAATCGAAAAAGCAGACATGTGTTTCTATCTCAACAGCCGAAGCTGAATATGTTGTTGCTGCTGCTTGCACATCACAGATAATTTGGATTCAAAGTCAATTACGTGATTATGAAATAATCCTGTGCAGCATTCGAAGACCTAACACATTGCTCTTCGTTATCACTTTATAAAAGATCATGTAGAAGACGGGAACATTGAAGTTCATTTGTGAAAACTACTGATCAATTGGCTGATATTTTCACAAAAGCTTTAATAGAAAAATCATTTATGAGGATTTTGGAAGGACTTGGAATGGTTGACGATAATTCAATTTCATACAAAAAGGAAGTTTGACATTTCTTGACACATCATCATCAGATGAGGTTACTGTTCATGGTCAACTCTTCGTACGCTTCGTATTCGTATGACTGTCACTTTGGAGAATTACAAACTCTTCGTATATTTGCACTCAGTATCCTTTAAACATTTATGTTTGTTAATTTTCGTGTGTTTTGTTTTTATTTTTGAAAAATCAAAAACACAAATAGATTTTCATGTGTTTTGTTTTTATTTTCGAAAAATCAAAAACTCAAAAAGATTTTATCTTTGTTTTATACTTTATTTTTGAAAAATTAAAAACAACAAAAATATTTTGTTTCAACTTTCTTTTAGGTTCTGAGATGCAGATATTCACCATCATTCGAAGACATAAATGCTTGCTAGGGTCAGGTATCATATTTCGTATCTTTACATATTTTTCATTTTGAACTAGTTAGGATGTCCCTAGAAGCATGTTGCTGTATGTCGACCAAAGCCTCGAATTGATTCAATGTTTGATAGCCTTAATGAAATTCTTCATACGAAGATTTCTTCTCAATAAGGCTTACATTCACATTAATCCAATGAGCTATCTCACTCTTCTCACATGAGTTAAGAGTTTTTTGTTTAGTCCAACATAACAGAGGTACACTTCGTCTCTTATACCAATCTTTTTCAAATCAAATTCTTTCTTGATTACATACGAAGGGATATGTCCTTGAGGTATTTGATAAAACCAATCAAAACTTAGACATCATCAAACTCTGTGTTTATGATCTACCATCATGAAACTGTGTTGAAGGTGAAACCCATAAATCTATCCATTCAAGGAATTGATGGGGAATAATGTTCCAGAATTTATGAAACTTTTGTTTTTGTACCTGTTTTCTAAACTCCAAATCATATTCATTTCTTTTGCGAGGTCTTGATCAAACATTCGAAGCCCATGATGTTTGTCACTCACCAAGATCCAGTAAACACATTTTTTATGAATATGATTTCCGTGTGAGTTTACTTTGAGAATTCTTGTCACTTTCAAAATATATCCACATCCACTTGTCACTAACTACACTAGTCACACAAGTAATTTCTGTTACAATTACTCACCTTATGTTTAGGATACCCACGATGCCTATCAAAAGATGCCCTTCGAAACTTATCAACAAGTTATTGATTGTATTTCACGGGACAATACACAAGCTGTTGATTATCTCTCTTGATAATTAACGAAGCAACCTTTGCCTAGGGTTAAACTGCTTTCGTGTCAAATTTATTTTTGACATCACAACTTTCCAAATTTTTTAAATTTGCTTCTGATCTTATTTCTTTGACATAATGCACACACGAAATCCTTGAGGTTCTGAGTCATACCAACTCAGGCTGATGATTTCGAAACTCTGGCAAATGATTTTACCTTAAACCCAGAAGTAAAAGAGTCTAACCTCCATCCGAAGGGTTCTGACGGTTACTATTCCATTGAGGTCATCAATACAGCTTGTTTGACAAGACGTTTTGTATTCCGTCCTCTTTTCAAGGTGATGTGACAGTTACTTTTTGAAGCATGGTAACTTTGTCATCATCATGATGCGCTTTTTCCGGTGCCACATCAGCATGCATTCAATGCGCATCCCGCTTTGATTTCAAATTTCAGAGTTACATATAAAAGGGGATACAAGGGGTATTCATCCGTTTACGCTCACATTATCTCAAATACTTTGTGCAACTCAAAATTCTCTCTGTTCTTCATCTTGTTCAAAACCCTAAAAATGGCGAATGTGGAGAATGTTGCAGCTGAACCTTCGCACACCATAGAAGATGTTACTTCATTACCACTCATAAAAATCCAAGGAACAAATTATCAAGTGGAGTCTAATGTTTCATTATATCCGAAAGAACTAAAGATGCTGATTGTTGCTCTGCAACATTCCGTTTTGTCTAAAGCCATGCTCAACTCTTTTGTCGTTCCTATTTCCTGGTTATCATAAGCAGGATCAACTGCTACATATTCAAAGGCCTTGGATATGGTTACATTTAACCTAATCAATGATAAAAAGGTTAGGTTAACTCAAAAGCTTTTCTGCAAAATTCTTGATATCCCAAACTCATCTCCATATGTTTCATTCACATTTCCACAAATCGTCCACATGTTCAATGAAATGGGACATCAACCGCAGTTAACCAAAATAAGTGATTTCAAGAAATCAGGACTTCCTTGTGTGTGGAATTTTCTTTTTGGTATTTTTCTTTGGTGCTTGACTGGCCGAATGGCGGGGCTTGATAAGGGTCAAATGGAGGTATATGCCATGGTAGCAGGGCTATATTACGATCTTAAAGAAAATTATTCGACTCAGTTATGGAAGGAATTTCAAAAGAGTATCGAGAATACGAATGTTGTTCAGGGCATTTCGTGTACTAGATACTGGAGCCTAATCTTATAGTATTTCTATGAAAAAGAAGGAATATTGGTACCAGCTGATGAGGGGAAAGTTGTATTTCATACATACCATTGTCCAAAGGATGCAACGGTTGATCTGGATGAGTTTCCGTTTGCAGCACGAATTCCTGATGCGATGCTCAAGAGAATTGATCCTTCGAATCCTGTCTTGGTTTCGTATTTAGCTACCATTGATTCTTCTTTGGAAACATGGATTTTTCTACAACAGACATCTGCAAAGAAGTCCAAGAAGACGCAGAAAACTGTTGTTGGTTCTTCGGATGCCAAAGTCACATCTTCGAAGAAAACAAAGCAGGTTCCAGTGATTGAACCTGAATCAACTTAACCAGAGCTTGTTGTTCCTAATACCCAGGTCATTGAAATCGAAGTAATTCCTTCAAAGACTGGTGTCTTCAGACATATTAAAATGAAATCGAAGAATAAGAAAAGATCGTCAGGTACGAAGGTAGTTCTTAAACCACAAGTTTCTCACCAAGGTGTAATTTTTAGGGAACTTCTTGCTACTGTTTCTCCTTCAACAAAGAAAAGGATGGCAGCAGATATGGCTAAACATATTTCTCAGAAGAAGAGGCGAAAGTTGATCATTTCTTCTGATTCCACAGCTGATGATACCGAAGTTATTCCTGAGACTCCTGAAGCCACTCTCATTCTTGATTCTTCTAAAGCTGATGCTTTAATGACACAACCACCTGAAGTTTCGTTAGCCAAGACAGTTTCTGTGGAGGCTCGAACTTCAGTCATCACTGTAAACATATCTGATATGGGTACAAATGTCATCATGGGTGTGGATAATACGAAGACTGCAGATCACGGTATCACTTCAACTCAGGTTTCAGATTCCTTCACTTCTTTACCTCCACAGATTACTCCCATTGTTCCAATCACCTCTACCACTGATTCACCCACTTTCCAACACGTAATAAACACCCATTTCACTTCAATTTTTTCATCTCAATCTACTGATCCACCAAAACCCACTTCACCTGTGGATGACACTATGCTTTTAGAGACTGAAACTGATAATGACGGTTTTGGAGGAACCTTTGAAGATTTGAAGTTTGATGCAGAAGAAGAAGCTTTTCCGGATCATATGTTAATGACTATGAAACAATTTAAAATTCTCAATTTAAAATTGAATTCAATTCTTCAGTCTCAAGATAATATTGGGGGAGGTTCTTCCGTCTCAAGTTTGGAGGTGGATTCTTTGTTGAAGGACTTCGAATCTAGGGTCATAAGCAAAGTGTCGGGTATGCTAAGGGATTCTGAAGTACGAGTTTTGGAGAAATTTGACTCTTCTGATCATTCGAATGAACTTCATCTGACTTCTCAACGAAAGGATTTCTTGGGTGAAGTGAAAGACTTCAAGTGCGTAACCAAGGAACGTCATGTGCTCTTTATTCAAGAGGTAAAGAAGGTGCGTGAAGATGTCAATATGCAAATCAGAGAACTTCGTGAATATATGCAAAAAGAAGTTCAAGCGGTTCAACAAGACTATGCATCGGTGAATCAAAAGATTGACATTATCTGTGATGCAGTGACCAGATTTGTCAAACTTTTCGAAAGTATGAGTCCTCAATTAACTCATCTTTCTAAAAAAGATGATAAGCATTTTTCAGAGCTAAATGTGTTGCTACAAGAGTTGAATGATTTAACTGTCAAACCTGTTCCTTCCTCAATGATTACTCCGGAATTTTTGTCTCAGAAATTTTTACATTTTGAAGCCATTTTACACAAACAATTATCACCACTAACTCACATATCCAGCCTTCTTCCAGTAGTATCAGATGCCCCACCTGTTTTCACAGGGGTGCAAGGGGGAGAAAAGAAGATAGAATCTACGTAGGCTGGGGAAAATATCAAAGAAATCCAAGTTGATTCGAAGGTGGTGGGAAAGGTGTTCCCTTCGAAGATTCCAACTTCAAAACCAATAATTTTTTCAGCTGGTCCAATTTCATCGACTGTGGTTACAACAATACATGTAACCAAGCCAATACTAAAGGGTGTTGTTATTAGTGAAGCAGCTGGAAGTGCTTCAAAATCGAAGACTGTTGTGATAGATTCAGCTTTGAAAGATAAGGGAAAAGGGGTTTTGATTGAGAAATCTAAAGAAGAGAAGACAGCTGAAATAAATGCCGAGATGGAGAAGATGAGACACTTACAGAGCATCATGACTCTTCGTGCTCAAGATCCATCAAAGTTGGATAAAGGTGATCCTTCGAAGCAATACAATTATGAAACTATTGAAGCCAGAGTGATGTTTGACCACATATATTCGTTTGAGAAGATTCCGAAGAAAAGTTATGTGGTGACAAACTTTGATTCATGTCAACTGGATTTTCTAGTAAATGAGATGATGTTTATCATGTCTCGGTTTCGAGCAGAAGTAAAATGTAAAGATGTTGATGAAGGAAAGAAGATGAAAATTCGCTTCATGCAGTTTTGGGAAAAGCTCCTGAAGAAGTCTGGTCACTGGAGAAGATAAAGAAAGTTGTAAGTATAAAAGGAGACGTGATCTTCGAAAATGTCATCCAAAATCTCAGATACACGGTGATCAAATCCAGTGGAAAAACTTGTGACTTTACAATTCCAGACTTTCCTTTGATGAACTTGTATGACCTTATACAAGTTGCATTATTACTAAGGGACAAGTCATTTTCCTTTCTTCATGAAACAGAACCGGATGTTTTCAAGCATGGATGCCAACACATCAAGATCTTTATAAAGAATTATTTTGAGTGTCTTGCTCAAACTGATGTTGAATTGGCAACAACAAAAGGGATTGAAATTACAGCACCAATGGCTCCTACAAAGAAACAAGCAGATCTGAAGAAATACGAAGACGGAGAAATCTGCTTGAAGCCATTAGGTATTGTTTTTGTTGGAAAAGATAAGGCAGGAAGAGCAAAATGTTTTTTGTTTCAAACAAGTGAAGTGGAGAGATATGCAACTTCTTAGTATACAGACTTGATTGTTCGTATGAATTAAAAGACCCCAACTTTCGTATTTATGAAAGACCCAAACTTTCATACTATTCCAACATTATTCTTAAGTTACTTCCTCAAAACATGCTACATGCATATTTATAAAAAAATATTTTATATTGATAAAGTGATTACAAAGGATTGGATACAAACCGAATAAGTTTTATTACATTTCATATCTACCCAGGAATCTACTATTCATATACATACATGCATATTAAAATATAGAGAAATAGTATTAACTATTCTAAATCTTTCAGCAGTATAAAACTAAACTGGATACTCATCACCTGCAATTGTTAAATATTGAGAGGGATAAACGATAACGCTTAGTGAATTCAATAAATAGATACAATATAATCTTATGCCTTATATATATACCAATATGACAGAAGCAAAGGGAACAAGACATATGTGAGATCAGGTGACAAATGTTCATATCAATCAAAGACTTTATTCAAAGATATACTTTTCAATTCTTGATATGCATCAATAAAGCTTTGGCCCAAATCGCACAGAAGACATATAATTTCTGATTAACATTTTGGTAGATTTCAGGCTTATAGCCCTGTCTAACCATTTGCCAATACCATAGAATAGAGTTCATTCTCTTATGGAGTCATGCTCTACATGGTCAGAGGCTACATACCATTCATATCTAACTTTTTTCCAATGCCATAGAATAGAAGTTATTCTCTTATGAGACATGTTCTACATGGCCAGAGGCTACATACCAATACCACCATGAATCTAAGTCCTTTCACTGATCACATGGTCAAAGGTATAACTTTGCTATTAAAAATAGCGAATAAAAATAACACTGGAAAATAACTCAGAATAATAACACTGAAAAGCACATAGCACATATAACACATAACATACAATTGTTCCTATATATTGAACTCACCTTAAAATAATCGGGGGTTAAAATAGGAATTTGAGTAGCACTTCAGCTCTAAATATGACTTTCGTCGTTGAAAACCGTGCTCTGCGAAGGTAGAGCTTCGAAACCGAAAAGATAAATTTTTCGGGCTTCTCGGGAACTTCGGGGCATGTTTCGGGTGTTAGAAATACTATCGGGGCTTCGGGGGAAGTTAAAATACTAAAAATATTGAAAAATGGTGAAAAAGTGCCAAAATTCTCAAAATCCCAGGGAGGTCTCGCAGCCTTATATAGCAGCGAGCCTCGGATCCGAAGCAGGGAGAAGGAAGCACGCGTCGCAGCAACGAGGCTCGGAGGCGAGGAAAGGCAGGTGGCTCGGTTCGCAGGGGCAGCTGGCGCGCTTCGGACAAGCCACGGAGACGGCACGCACTGGGCGCCTATTAGACCGAAGGCTGTACACGCGTCGGAAGACTATTGGGCCGCGCATCAGACTCGTCATCTGATCGGACACGGGGCGGGTGACACCGAGATTGGATCTTATCCTTGCAAGATTCTCGGAAAATGTGCCCAAAACTTGTAAAATCCATAACTTTCGCATACGGGCTCTGTTTTTAACTTTCTTTATATGTGCGCGTAGCTAAAATTATGCTCTACAACTTTTGTTTAGACTTCATCAGCTAATTTTGACTTTAGTTTTAATATTATTAGTTTAACAGACCGGGATAGGAAAATCCATTGAAAATTCATAACTTCTTCATCCGACGTCCGTTTTCGTCAGACTTTTTACCGTTGTACTACAAATGACGAGACCTTCAATTCTTGTTTAGGTTGTGTCGGCTAAAAATCACTCGATCTAAAATTCGAGTTTTTAGCTGTCTACCGCTAAACTGAAACTTCAAAAAATCATAACTTCCTCATACGAAGTCAGATTTTGGCGTTCTTTTTATCAAACTTCTCGGTTTAACGAATACTACAACTTTCATTTAGATTACTAAGGCTAAAAATTAGTTTATCAAAACTCACTTTTTACGTCATTCGGCACCGTGCCGGTTTTGTCGCGAATCTTCGATTGGTCATAACTTCTTCGTTATAACTCGGATTTTGACGAGGTTTTCGCCTACATGTTTCTAATGAGATTATCTACAAATTTTAATAATAAAATTTTACTTATTTAAAATTTTATATTTTCACTAAATTTTCATTATTTGGCTATTAATTGGAATCTCATAAGACTTCCAATATTTTATGAGTGATTTTAAACATAGTTTTACTTCATTTCTAGTAAAAACTAGCTGTTAGAACTCAACACTCAATTTTATTCACTTTTAATAATAAAAATACCCAATTTCAGAACGTGTATGTTACAAATACCTCCTCCTTTTGAGGATTTCGTCCCCGAAATCATAACGATTAAAATAAATGAGGATACTTCACTCTTATCTCATTCTTATGTTCCCCAAGTATAATTTGGGCCTCGTTGGTGTTTCTACTTGAAAATCACCAACTCTACTTCTTTATTATGTAGATTAGTCGTTCATTCGTTTACAGTCTTTTCAGGGTTTTCTACATATCTTAACTTATTATCCAATATCTCTTAGGATAACGGAATCATTTCATGATATACACTTAAGCATTGGCACATATAACTCAAATGAAACACTTCATGAATATCTGTCAAATCTTCAGGCAATTCCAAGTCATATGCTTGCTTACCAACCGTTCTTTCTTCCATAGTAGAATAATGCCTTTTCATGAAATACCTTCAGTATTACTAAATCATCCACCCGAAATTCTATGGGTCATCTCCTCTTTTCTACATAGGACATTTGTCGATCCTGGGCCGCTTTCATTCTTTCTCGGCAAAATTTGTATCTTGTCAGTGATGTATTGAATCATTTCAGATCCTCCAAAGATCTTTTGTCCTACGTCACGCCAACATATTTGAGTATGACATTAGTACTTTATATACCTTCAGTATATTTTCTACTATTTTGGATTGCTATCTTCTTCTGATCATTTGTCTGAGGATGATAAGTTGTGTTGGGAGTAATTTGAGATCCCAATTCACTCTTCATACTCGCCCAAAAGTGAGAAGTGAAGAGAGTATCATAATTGGAACTAGTCATCAGTGACACACCATGTCTCGTCACAATTTCGCCTAAATAAATTTGTGCGTATTTCTCCGTTGAAGTTGTTTCACACATGATGAGAAAATAGGCATTCTTAATCAGCCAGTCGATAATTATCCAAATGTTATCATTCACAGTTTTCTTCTCCTCTTTTAAGGTATTAACTGTATAAGCCGGATAATTAGAATATCTCCTCGATATAATATATGAGTATTAAGAAAGAAATTTATTATTTTCACCGTAGGCATAAATAGAATCCCCCTTTTCGATAGGG